TCTATTAATTAATTAAATAAATAATAATTAATTATAATTGATAGACGGAGCCGCTATCCGCACATATATTCAACCTGGAATCGACGCGGTGGCGGCCGCTACGTGCGAAGCTCTCACCGGTGTTCACGTCAGGGAAGCTCCGTGAGATGTTCTATTTAATAATCGAGTGTTCGCACACTTTTGAGAAGTATTTAGACAAGCAAATCGAGAAAAACGAACCGATCGAGTGCAGAGAGCTGACAGCGAAGTTCACGACCGACGTGATCGGTTCGTGCGCCTTTGGGATCGACATGAACTCACTGTCAGACGAGGAGGGCGAGTTCCGCAAAATGGGCAGGGAAATACTTGCCGTTAATTTCGAGAACATTGTACGATTGAAGTTGAAGCAATTCATGCCAGGACTGTACAATTTATTGGGCTACGTGATACCCGATAAGAAGTTTGCTCCGTTTTTCACTAAAGTCGTCACAGACTCTATCAAATACAGGAAAGAGCACAACGTAATGAGGCCGGATTTTATACATTTGCTAATGCAACTCCAGGCACATCCGGATAAATTAGATAACATCGGTGAGTTTTAGTGAATCATTCAAATATAACTTATCAATCCTATACTGATAAAGTTGTTTCTTAAGTCATCGAACAGTACAATGACACGAATATTTAAACATAATTACTGAATTCAATTGAGATATATTTATGTATGTTGTGACGCGTTCCTCATTACTCATGTCTGTTTAAAGAACGATTAAAATAGATAGCACCTTCTTAGAAAACAGTAACATAGAACAGCTTACTCGTGCTAATTTACAAACTCTTATCGGTCCACGTCATAATTTTAATATTAGATCTCTTTTCATCGACCATTATTACTGAATTTTTTACAGAATTGACGGATTCGTTGCTGACAGCGCAGGTGTTCGTATTCTTTGTCGCCGGTTTTGAAACCTCCTCGTCGACGATGAGTAACGCTCTTTACGAATTGGCTAAAAATCAGGATATACAAAATAAATTGAGAGAAGAAATTCGCGCGAATTGGGGCAACACTGATGGAGATATGAAGTATGAAAACGTTAAGGAAATGAAGTATCTAGATAAAGTATTTAAAGGTTTATAGTATTAATCATAATGGATATTCTAATAATGGACATTAATACTCATATAATTACATAATAAATCCTAATAAATGATTTAATCAATTATTATTCATGTCGTTCTCTGTAGAGACGTTAAGAAAGTATCCACCAGGAGTACACTTGCTAAGAAAAGCTGTTTCTGACTACACCTTTAATGGGACCAAAGTGACGATACCGAAAGGGACCCAAGTATGGATTCCTGTGTACGCGATACACACAGACCCTAATTTCTTCCCAAATCCGGAAAAGTTCGATCCTGAAAGATTCAACGAGGACGCCGTTGCCTCCAGGCATCCCATGACCTACCTCCCGTTCGGCGATGGACCCAGAAATTGCATTGGTATTGTTCTTTGATATTAATATCGGGCGATCCTTCAAACTGTTTACTGATAATCACCTTATGAATAGATCATTGAATAATGGAATGCAATCGTGATTGTGTTATTGTAATGTTTTAAGCTTGGCCTTGAAAAAAAGAATATGGAATATACGAAATGTAGACATAGTACGCGGACGAGCTGAGAATCTATTGATGCATACAAGAAGTCGAACCACCGCTTGGCCTCGAGATTAATTATAACATAT